AGGAGTAAAATGCAATTTTTTTTATGAGTGGGGGGCGGACCTCACTCCCTCTAGGGGGGGTCCGAGGGATGCTCCCCCGGGAAGATTTTTTTTTTTAAATATTGAAGTTAAAAGCATCAATCTGGTGCACTTAGAGAGCAACATTAAGAGATCTATGGATACATCTCTCAACACCCATATGAAACACAACTGTAATCAGATTTACTTTATGGATATTTTACAAGTCACTCCCCTTTCAAACTTCTCTCTCTCTCTCTCTCTCTCTCTCTCCCTCCCCACCTTTTCAGTTCCTGCTAGAGAGCAGGTACTTTCCTGGGGAGAAAAAAGTACTAAGTGCTGGGAACTAAGTACGGTAAAGTACTTTGTGTGAAAGCGGCTAATTATTTGCAAGCATGCGTGTTTAAAATAATCATATATATGGTATGTTTATCTTTTTTGTTCCGTCTTAGCACCTCCTCTTCTATTCTTGGTGTGAAAATGTGAATATAAGAACCTCTGCAGACCTCCTGACTTTTGTACTCCGCTGCAGACTGCTTGACACTCTGTAATGATTTACCTTCTTGCAAGAATAAACTCCCTAAAAGACTGTTTACTTCAAGACTCTTCATCTCGGTATAATGGAAAGGTTTACCCACGATTTTATTATTATTTATTAGTTTGTCTAACAAAATTCCCACCACATCATATCCTAACGTTAGCTTTTTACCTCTGTCGATCGCATTATGCTTCCAAAATCATAAAAGTGGTGTTTAATATGTAGATATTATCCTGCTAAACAAATGTATGTATGCCACGGATCTTTTTCTGCAATATTCTAAAATCCCTTTTTTCCCCCTTGCGATGCTCACTTCCGGGTCAACCTACAAAAACACATCATTACTGCACCATTCTATGGGGCAATGGTATATGAGAACAGTGGTAATGATCACAACCATAGCACATCCAACAATATCAGACCAGGACATAAGACTACTCAGTATCAGACATTACTGAAGTGGTAAAAACATCAAATTCAAACTGGAAGGTTTGGGGAGCAGATGAATATCATAGCAGCAGCTCCAACCCCTCTCAGCTGTCAGAAGTCCCAGTTGAACTCTCAGCAGGATTACTGGGAGGAGAGACGCTTGATAAACACAGGTCCAGGTCTTTTACCACAAAGACATTTATGCTGCCTATACAGTATGGGTGAATAAATTACAACAGGTATCTAAAAAGGTATCATCTACTCCTCTGGAGATATATACACTAGGTTAACTATGGTACTGTGCAGATGCCTTCAGTAGTAACCATGGAGACCACAGGGAGCCTGTGTCAGGGTCTGCTGTTGTACTTTCAAAAGAAAAGAAGAACACCAGAAGTGTATCATAAAGAGAACCACATTTCTGCTATGGTCCTGCACCAAAGATGCTGCACACACACTGCTGCAAACATCTTTCTAATCTTTCTCCTAATATTATTTAGAAAAGAGAGGATTGATGAAGCTGCATCACAAGACTTCCAATTGTCTCAACCATGGCAAAACAGCTTACAGCTCTTTTCTTGGCTTAAGGTTGATTAATGCTTAAAATGGCAACCATAATTACGGAGTAAATACGTTACCTTTAAAGTATTTTCTAGGAAACATGGTGCCACTTTCTAAGGCAAGAGAACATATTCAGCTCATTTCCAGGTTCATACTTGTATTTTGAGGGAAGGATCCTTTGCAGATCATTTCATTTGATAAATGTAGATGGAAGATGCTAAAACAATTAGCCTCTTGGTCCGCAAGGTATTTATCATCCTACGACGATGGTTGCCTGTGTGTGTAATGTGAGCGATACCGAGTTAAGATTATCTATCAAACCTCTGTAAGGAAAGACTTAACATCTAAGCTTTCCTGAGGACCGAGGGGAGTATTTTAGTGCCACGCATCATGTCATAATAGATTTGTGGTTCTAACAAAAACTGTATGCTTGGCCGGACTTTGGTTAGCGCATCAAAATCCACACTAACGGACTTAAGGTGGTTCTCTGCATGCTGTATGTTTTCTGTCTCAATACACCCCTTATTACAGATCACCGTTGTGTTTCTCTTTATGTGAAAAGCACAGAAGAGAAAAGCAGTCCGATGTAAAAACGAGAACACAAGCACTGCTGAGTAACTAAATGAAGGGGTCTGATTACTTTGTAAAAACCTTGTTTGTAGACTAACCTGTTCCACAAGTCGTCATCCTCTCCTCCCCAGCCCCAGAATGCATTGGGAAAGCCATTAATCTTCCGAAACTGCTCCACAGTGAGTCCACTGACACCACCAAAGAACTCGCTATATGGAAGACTGGAAACAAAAACAAACAAAGTGTTAAAATAAACATGATCTGGCTAGTTCATAGCCTGTCCGAACAATTTGAAATCTATTGGTCATTGCCACCAAAGGAAATCAATACTTAACTTAAGCAGGAAAAACATTTATGTTCTTAAAAGATATCTGATGACACACTCACATGTACATGTATTTGTCCAGCTTGGCAGCAAAGTGGCGTGGCATCTGACCGCAGCCGTAGTAGTTTCGGTCATTCTCAGGGATGTGGTCGACGTCATGGAAGATCAAGCAGTCCCAGTCCAAGTCCTTCATGGCCTCCAGGAATCCCACGTTAAACAGCATGGCTCTGTTGAAGGGCTGGCTGCCACTCTACACGCCATGAGTTGAGTACACGTTAATAAAGCTGTCTTGTAATGCACAACGTGTTCATACAGCAGCATGCAGTGCGGGCCACACACCTGTTCGATGACGTAGAAGGCAAACTGCAGCCGCTGTCTCTGCAGCATGGGGATAAGATGTTGGAAGAGGATGGGGAGATGCTCATGACGGTTTCTAAACGGAATCAGGATGGCCACCTAAAAGGAAAATATTAGAGTAAGAAATAAGAGCCAACATTCGACTAAATTCATCTGCTTTGTTGTTGTTTTCCCCCTAGAGGAATCCATTTGCATCACTGGTTTAAAAAAAGTTTGAAGGATATATATTATTTATACACTTCTAAAAGGCCTACCTTCCAGCGAGGTCTGCAGTCTTTTGGTTTCCAGTGGCCTCCAAACTCAATGTCAAAATACTTGGAGGACCTCAGTTCTATCTCCTCCATGGGGATCTCTGTCATGTTTACTTCAATAAGGCCCTCTGTGGAGAGAGTTGTGTGTGTGTGTGGGGGGTACATAAATCAGCTTCACATTAAAACAAATAAGAACTTTCTACAGAGTAAAACATAGGGCTTTGTTTTTCTCTCATTTCTGTGCTACTTAGCTCATTGGTCTGACCGCTATTAGCTCATTCTCATTTCTTTTATATTTGTGTTGTATTTTTACAACAGAACAATTAAGCAGCAAAGCTTGAAGTGCAGTAGATTTTAAATGATGGCTTTCCTGAAACGACATGTTAGAGCCCGTCTTTCGATTTGTAAAAAAGGTCATATATTGTCACCGAATCGTGACCTCAGTAGTCATGGAAATATAAAAGACTACATTTCCCACGGCGCAAGCCTCTTAAGAGACACAGAGATAGGCAACCTGTGCGAAAGACACGGTTGAGAAACAGTTTTATACCGTTTAGTAATATTATCCTACACAAAGTAAAAGGAAGAAAGACGATCCAAGTTGTTTATTATTTTATGGGAGTTTTGCCTCTTTTGTTTTGTTTGACTATTTTAAAAAAGGTCATATATCTATCGTAAGTCAAACAAGTAAAAACAAATGAATGAAAGATAATGCATTAAAACTGTCTGTTAAAGCGTCTACTTGCTTAATGGAAACAAAGGGAGGAAGCTGCGACAACCCTTTCCTGTTTCTTGTCAGGTAAAAGGTCTGTACTCACTCATAGAAGGTAATCGCTCTGGACATGGCAGGTTCTGGGCATAGGTGAAGTTCTCGGGGAGGTACGTGGTCGGCTGTACCAGGTATTCACTGGAGTTGCTGCCATCAGGATAGTCTGCAGCAAAATCAACCAACATCTAGTATAACAGCAGAATATTCCAAACCACATCATTGACATCAAATGACTGATGATAGGGATTCAATATGGACCCTATTTCTCATGATTGTGTCAAATGAAAAACATTTTTAGGAAATTGGTACAGCCTGGAGCAGAAGGCGCTTAACAGCCTGCAAGGTAATCCTATATAAAGGCCCTGCCCTGTCAATGACTTTTCACCTAAAGTGCCCGTTCTTTCCACTGACAATCTCAGATTGTTATTTTAAACCTACACAATTATGGAAAGGAACCTACAAACAATTCAAGAGTTGTTTTCTTCATCCTTAACTTGATCCCCAGCCTGTTTGCATGTGACTTGTCGTTGAAAACAGGAGGTGGAAACATGAGTGACAATTATAGAGAGGAATGGCTTTTTTCACGGTTTGGAGTACAGATAGCGTTGAGTACCGTAATTTTCGGACTATAAGGCACACCTGAATATAAGCCGCAGCAGCTAAATTGAATGATGTGTACATATATAAGCCGCACTGGACTATAAGCCGCAGGTGTTTTAATGTTTAATTACCATATGTAAGGGTTCGTGCACAGAGGGGATTGTCGGGAAAGAGATGGCTGTTTGAGGAAGCTCCCATTTATTAACATTTCAACAAACAAGTTGCATATTTGCGTAACGTATTCAAGTGTTAGCATTTAGTGCAATAGTAGCTACAGAACATGTACTGTGCTGTGTAAACTCTACTGTATCACATAGCGTTTCAGACACACAAACTTCTCAACTTTCAAACTTAAACGGTGCGCTCCCAGCGCACGTACCGGCAGTGATCTACAGCAGTGGTTTTCAACCAATGGTACGGGGACAAACTGTCTCGCTCTCGTAATGTCTGTCTGTCTTGCTCTCGTTCTGTCTCTCGTACCACTCTCGGTTCCACTTTTACTTTTGCGCGCTACCTGTCTCACTCTTTTCCGGCCTCCAGCTTTTCCTGCTGGAGCCCGCCGCTTAAAGGTGGGGGGCGCGGACCGGCCATAGAGCCCATAGAGTTAAAGGTGGTGGACGTAACCTGTAAAATCCATAGATTAGCAGCACCCCTAGTAGCCGCAGCGTAAAAATCCAGAAAAAGCCGCCGCTTATAAACCGAAAAGTACGGTAATCTATTTCACACACTAACCGGGTGTTTTCGACGGGCTGCTTCCAGGTTTTCTGCCACTTTACCAATATAGAGCTGGGAATAAAGTGTCCGGTTGGCCAAGTCCAATTCTGTCAATGCTTTGGGCGAA